CTTTGGAGCATGAGGGGATTTTACACTTCAGAATGACATATCATAATGATCCCTAATGTCACTGTCTATTTACACATCTGTTTAACATTTGCCTACAATTACTTAGGGTTGTGTTATTGTTATTACTGTGCTTGTCATCATATTAATACAGCCATATATTTAAATTGATTGTAATTGCCGAATTTCCTGAAAAAGCTTGGTTTTGTGCAAGTATTTAATTAAACCATTGCCCTGAATTAAAAATAATTATGTAACTATACTGCAGTATAATAATACACTTCTCTGTCCTTTTTCCCCTCCTCCCTCCATCCTTTTCCTTCGTCTCTCTGTGTAGGAAATAGGATTGGTTTAAAAAAAATCATATGTAGATTAAAGGTCAACTACTACATAATCAACCTGAGCTATGAATTTAAATTAACATTGCATCTGAAACAGTCCTTCCTTCTGTGTTAAGCTACTTCTGTTGCCTCAATTAGGGCTCTCCCCTAAATTCTGCTTTAAAAGAAAATAGGGATACAGTATTCAATTTAGGGGGAGTGGCTGGGAACCAGATATGAACACTGAGTTGTGTGCTTCAGGATGTACTCCTCAAGATAAAGAAAAATTTCATTGGATTTAGCTTGATTTTAATTAAAATTAACAAATTAAAATTAACAAACGGAATCAAGTTAGTATCATTTACATAGAGATTCAGGTAATCCTTAACTTATAACTGTTCATATACCAATAGTTCAAAGTTACAATGGCCTTGGAAAAGTTGATTTGCAACCTGTCCCGAATTTCTAATTGTCACACCAGCCCCAAATCACAAGATCACAAACTGGGTGCTTGGCAACTGGCTCACATTTATAATTGGTAGCAACATCCCATAGTCACATGATCACAATATGGCACCTTCCATCAAGCAACATCAATTAGGGAAGCTGGATTCGTTTAATGACAACATGATTGGCTTAAAAACCATGAAATTTGCTTAATGACCACAGTCATTCACCTAATGACTACAGTAAAAATGGTCATGGAATCACGTCTAGTCACATGACGATTCACTTTACAACCATACCAACTTACAATGGAAATTCAAATCTCAACTTTGGTTGTAAATTGAAGACTACCTGTAGAGATACTTTTGAAACATACACAATTAAAATTTGGCAACAGTTTTGGGAGGAACTCTGAAGACCACATCCAAGGTTCTAAGTATGGAAATGTGGCCTTCTATAGGTTCTGAAGGTGGATTCCATTCCTCTTTGTTTGAGAATAAGCATTCTGTGCATATAACATAGCTCAGGGCCAGGTTATCTTCGAGACCACCTTCTACCACATAGCTTCCAGCGACCGGTAAGATCCCACAGAGCTGGTCTCCTCCTGGTCCCATCAGCTAAACAATGTCAGTTGACAGGCCCGCGGGAGACGGCCTTCTCTGTGGCTGCCCCAGCTCTCTGGAACCAACTACCTCCTGAGGTCTGGACCGCCCCCACCCTATTGGCCTTCTGGAAAGCGGTGAAGACCTGGCTTTTCCGGCAGGCCTGGGGCCGTTGATCTCGCTACGGCGATCTTGCGAGACCCAGCCATGGAATGAAGTGTATGGGTTTTTAATGTTTTCTTTTTAAAAAAATTTTACGGGATATTGTTCGCATTGTTTTTTTGCTGTAAGCCGCCCAGAGTCCTTAGGGAGTTGGGCAGCATAAAAATGGGACAAATAAATAAATAAATAAATAAATAAATAAATAAATAAATAAATAAATAAATGTCATCATAGAAAAGGTAAAATGAGGAGCAAAATGCATTGCACCATATTCCTGTCAGGCACAACAAATCGGGAACCAAAACTGTTTGAATGAGAACAGTGGAATTCAAGGAGGGCTGGACTTAGATCTCCAAAGAGACTCCAAACTGATAACAGTCTTGACCCCTCCCTCAGGCTCAGCCTAGTCATCTCCAACAAATCCTTATTTGAGTTTACATCAACTGTTTAGTCTAATAGCCAAACTTATCATCAAAAATTGCTGTGAAAAGACTATTTCTTTTGATGACATTGAAGAAAAAGGGCTTAAAATGGAAAAAATAAATATGAAAATGGGATGTCTCTAATATTTTTAGTCATCTCCCTAATTAGATCCTAAAGCATATAAATGGTAGATTTTTTTGGTATGTTTGTTTTCCTTAAAATAAATCTATAGTGCAAAATCTCCTCAAAACGTCGTTCGTGTTTTCTGAAATAATTTATATGAAAGACTCGACATGCCATGATTTTAAAATAACACTGAATTTTCCAAACAGTTCCACCATAAACTTTTTCCATGTTTCAGAAAAACACCTTGTTAAAGGCAAAGGCATCACATTGCCCATCATAAATAATTCCTTACATTGCCCATTCGCCATTCCCCATTTCTTCCACTCCTTTCCAAAAATGATGGAAATATACTTAACTTGCAAGAAATAGTAGAACATCTTTCCTTTCCCTCTTAAAATAGCTTACAATACATCCAAGAACTAAAACTACTTTTTCTCAGTTGCAAAAAGCATAATAAATGCTGGATTTAAGTATTGAAATGATTCAAGGTAGACATTCCCTTTCTTCTGGATATAAAACCTAAATAGGGGTTCCATATCACTTACTGCCTGCAAATGGGGAAATGACTGCCAAATGAACGGTTTACATTGGAATCATACTTTATTTATATATTACATCGTGATATGGACCTTTCATTGCACTTTCATTCCAAACCACGGCAAGACATTTTGACACCTTTTAGAAATTTTTCACATATGGCACGTTGCAGCAATTCAAGCTATTAAGAGGCAAGAAATATAGATTAAACATGAGATTTTTAAACAATCAAAGGAAATACTTTGAAACCTGAGATAATATAGCTTGCCTACTTAAGGATATATCCACACTAGTAGAATGTCATATTTAATTTGATTTTTTTTCATTGTTTTTGTTCCACAGGATGGATTGCAACATGATGATAGAAGTGCCACTGAAAAAAGCAGTTACACATTACACTGTTTTTTTTGACATCACTAAGGTCTGGCTGTATAAAAGATATTAAGATGCTCCAAGTTTACTATTGTCACAAATATTCCTTTTTTATGCTTGGTTATTCAGGGTCTTTTGCTCGTCTGGGTTTTTAAACTAATTGTGTCTATTTTAGAGCTTATACTCCAGTTTTTGCATATTTCCCAATTCCAATCATTGAATAATTATGATGTAAATTTGTAGCAATCAAGGTCCAGGGGCTGCAAAAGGGAGTATTATTTGGATGTGAAAGATTTTTAAAAGTCAGATATGCAAGCCACAGCCCTGCGCCCTGGAGACGCAGCTGACCATGCAAAGTGGCATTCAATGATCCAAAAAGCGGATCCTGCACTTGTGGGAACATGCTAAGAAGAAAAAGAAAGATTTTTAAAAGTCCCATGACTAGAAAGTCAAGAAATGTAGCGGACACTAAATAGAAGTGGCTGAGGGAAGATTGGTGTCTTCATAGATACAAACCCTAAGGTATAGGAAAAAAAATCTTGCCTTTATTTAATGTGGTTTAATACTCTGGAAAAACAGAAACATGAAATGAAAGATAAAGAAAATTCACTGAATGAAGTGCAAGATGCACATCTCCTATGTGTTAGATTTTGTTTAATTTTGCAGTTTGTCTTAACCCTTGAAGGCAAGTAAGGAATGTCATTTCTCGTTTATAATAATTCCATTATGTGTGTTGCTAATATCCTTTTTTAAAGCTGAAGATACGTGGATGAGACGTATGGCTAAGGCCACCTAGTCCTAGTGGATCATGAATATGGAAGGGATGAATGTTTTGAATGTATGGGAGAATAGGAACAGCACACTCAATTAGAGCCAGTGAAATTCAAATTTAGTTAATTAGAAAATTGATTTCCTAATTAGGAAAAAGTACTGGAATCAGATTCTGCATTACTTAGCTTAAACCCACTGAGTTAAATAAATGTGACTTAACTGTTTTCATGCATTAATTTCACTTAATTTCAGTAAGTCCACATTAACAACTCATTGAGTGGATCGTACTCACTGAGTGAAAATGCCCACATAATTTTCATCTGCAATATCATATGAGTGAAACCTGTCCATTTTAGGAGGCAAGAAAACCCATCTCATTGTTCTCTCATGGCGGCTTTTGAAAGCTGGATCTGATCCAGTTAAGGATAGGCATTGCAAATTATGGCACTAATTTTTGTCATAGCCTACTTGCCCTATTTTTTTCCAGTAAGACTTGATTAAGGCTAATGTTGGCTGAATTGGGATATCTGTAATGGAGAATTCCTGGGTGCAATCCAGAAACCCAGAAATCAGCGGAAATGCATCTAGTGACTTTTACAGGGCACATATTCCAACTCCATATTCTTCATTCCACAATACAATTCCAGCAGTGCATTTTTCCAGACCTCAATATTACAGTTATCCTATTCAAAAAGCAATCAAGTCATCAACCAGTGTAATAATGTTATTGTTACATTGCTAGGCCCAATTAATGTGCAGCCAAACAAGAAAATGGAATGAGATTGCCAAATATTTAATGAAACAAAAGAGAAGCGATGATTCTTTCAGAGTATCGTTTATCTCTTATAATAGGCTCTTCTCTCCCTGTTAATTTGACATCTTGTTATTTTTCAAAAGCAGCTCCCCACCAATCAACATCCCCATGTAAGCCTGTTTCACTGATGAAATGGAACAGCCATATCTAACAGTGACATCTGGCACATGTACAAATGAAATCAGCTCGCCTCATTCATCCGACGGCTGCTTGCCAAGCACTCTGCAATGAAAGCATGCTAAATCTACTCTCTACTTCGATGGTGAAAGATTAAGAGAGCATAATCCACTTGGAGTTTAAGATTTCATGCTCTGCTTCTAAACAATACATTTGTGTTTAGAGAAAGAGATTCACTCATTTTTCTTTTTTAAAAAAATGGTCTGTTGCTGGGGAGTGAGTGGGGAGACTGAAAACCAACTTCACTCTCTGTTTTATCAAAGACATTTTAATTCAAGAACGCCTCTGGAGTGGACAAATGTCCTATAGGTCCATTTGATCCTGATCCTGTAGCTGATCCCATGGCAGACTTTCTTCTCTTCCCAGAATCTTCTTCTCTAGAAGTTTGGAAAGAGCTGCATTATATTCATGGCCTCGGAAACTACGAGGTTATAATTTCATTTTTAAAACTTAAAACTTGGTGGGTTTTTTACCCTAATTAAAAAAAAAAAAGTACAGTGCTGCCAATGGCTGGGTTTTGTCACTGTATTAAATCATCCAGAGATTTGTGCTAATGGGTTGTTCACTCTTTACTTCCCTGGCCTGCCCCCCACCCCCACCCCCCCACAAAAGGATTCATTTGGAAGTGTTGGGACATTTCTATTGACTAACATATTGAAATATTTGTACTCCAACTTACAGGGCTGCTGCTTTTTATCAACACACTATTCCAAATAAAAGGAGGCTGGGCTAATGGGGATGTTGTTCCAGAAAGGAATGGCTGGAGGACTCAAATGAGAAGAGTTGGAATCAGTGTTTCTCAACTTTGGCAACTTTAAGCTATGTGGACTTCAACTCCCAGAATTCCTCAGTCAGAAATTCTGGGAATTGAAGTCCACAGAGCTTACAGTTGCCAAGGTTGAGAAAGGCAGATTTAATAGTTCTTTTTTTTTCTAAACAAATCAACTGAAAAACAACTGAATTTTTCTCTTAAACTTCATGCCCACAGCAGTAAATTTAAAAAAAAAAACACAAAGAGACCTGCATGAAAAGAATGCATATGATAGTCCTGATGTAGACAGCACAATCATGTACTTAAAATTAAATATACAGTATGACAAGAGATGGACTGAACAAAAGGCAATTTGCACATAAATGAAAGCAATGAAAACAATGATGTGCAGGGAAACGCCATTCTCCCCTTAATTGATGGGACGAATTATATCTAGCACCAAAAAAAAGTACTGGTGGAGGTAGAGGAATATTATTAATAAATCTCCCTTCTGTCTTACTTCACCACAATCTTTTACTACTTCTGTGACTGCACTTTGTAGGTAAAATACTCTAAAACTGAGTATTTCCCATTGGCCCTGGAGGATACAGACTACCTGGATCCGTACCAATTGGGTTTCAGGCCGGGGTACAGCACGGAAACGGCATTGGTCGCACTGGTGGATGATCTTTGGAGGGCTCGGGACAGGGGATATTCCTCTGTTCTGGTCCTCTTGGATCTTTCGGCGGTGTTTGATACCATCGACCATGGTATCTTGCTGGGACGGCTCAAGGGGTTGGGAGTGGGAGGCACCGTTCTACAATGGTTCTCCTCCTATCTCTTGGGCCGTACGCAAGCGGTGTTGGCAGGGGGACAGAGGTCGGCTATGAGGCCCCTCACTTGTGGGGTGCCCCAGGGGTCAGTTCTCTCGCCTCTCCTGTTCAACATCTATATGAAGCTGCTTGGGAAGATCATCTGTGGTTTTGGGGTGCAGTATCATCAGTATGCTGATGATACCTAGCTTTTTATATCCACCCCAAACCAGCCCAGTGATGCCCTCTACATGATGTCCCGTTGCCTGGAAGGGGTACGGACCTGGATGGGGAGGAACAGGCTTCGACTCAACCCTCCCAAGACCGAGTGGCTGTGGGTACCGGCATCTTGTTCCGATCAAGATGTTCCATCGTTGACCATCAGGGGTGAGGTGTTACCCCCTGTGGATAGGGCCTGCAACTTGGGAGTCCTCCTGGATTCACGGTTGTCTCTGGAAGACCATGTGACGACCGTGACCAGTGGGGCATTTGCCCAGGTTCGCCTTGTGCGACAGTTGTGCCCTTACTTGGACCAAGATGCCCTACGCACCGTTACTCATGCACTGGTCACCTCCCGTCTTGACTACTGCAACGCTCTCTACCTAGGGCTGTCCTTGAAGATCACTCGAAGGCTTCAGCTGGTGCAGAATGCGACCGCGTGGGTTGTGATGGGAGCGTCCCGACACTCCCATGTTACACCCCTCATGCGCGGCTTGCGTTGGTTACCGGTTGCCCTTCGGGTGAGGTTCAAGGTGCTGGTTATCACCTATAAAGCCCTTCATGGCCTAGGCCCGGGATACCTGTCGGACCCCCTGCAGCCAGCGACAATCCCTAATCGCCCGGTGCGTTCCCACAGACAGGGCCTCCTCAGGGTGCTGTCAGCCAGACAGTGTCGGCTGGTGACCCCCAGGGGGAGAGCTTTCTCTGTGGGCGCACCCACCGTCTGGAACCAACTTCCATTGGAGCTCCGGATGGCCCCTGACCTTCGCTTGTTCCGCCGCGAGTTGAAGACCTGGTTGTTCCATAGCCTGGACTGATGGGGGGGGTTAATGAATTTTAAACTGTTTTAAACTGGGTTTTAACTTTATATCGTTTTAATAAGGAATTATGCATTTTACTGTTGTGAGCCGCCCTGAGTCCTCGGAGATAGGGCGGCATATAAATTGCATAAAATAAATAAATAAATAAATTATAGGTGGTCCATAAATGTTACGAACTGTGCTTTATTAATATATGATAACACAATAATTCCAAAAATGATCAGCCGCTTCTGGATGAATTCCCTTGTTGCAATTTCTTCTTTTCTCAGAAATGCCTTCTGATAAATAATATGATAATTTACCTCTTTAAAAAAAAACTGAGGATACAGTGATTTCACAACACTTTTCACAAGAACAAGCCACAAAATCTGCTACGTTGTTTGCTTGCTTTTCAGTATCTTTTAAAACACCAAATGTGTTTTTAGGAACGAGAGCTCCTATACATGAGACTCACATGGAACATTAATCCTATTTCTTTGCAGATCAGTTCCAGGGGATGATCTCCAAAAACTAAGCGCATTGAACTTCATTAATATTTCAATGGAAGGCTGCCAGCATTGCAGGCTAGACTCTAAAGTTAAAAAAAAAAACCTTCAAAAGAAAGTAATGACAAACCAGTTCCATACTATTGCTAAGAAAATACTGGCCATGTCCACCAATTCATCATTGAGCTTAACTCACAATAGATTTTATATTCTTTTATATCAGCTGTCAAGTATACTTCCTGCATAATATTCAAAATAATTGAAACAATTCAAATGAATTTGTTTTAACAAGCCAAAAGTCATCATATTATAAAAACAATATGAAATAACTAAAGTAGGGAAACTAAAGTGCTCAAGGGAAACATTCTTTGACAGTGAAAATATCATCACTTAAACCAAACCTTTGGGAGGAGAAGTTTCAAAACAAAAGTATCCCCACCAAAGGTGTATTCTCTCTCATGAACACTGCTCTCACCTTTCAAGGCAGAATCAATTTGCCGCAGCAGGATTTTTGCTACCTCATCTTCATCTTCAGTTAGGAAGAGATAGAGGCTTTTCAAGGGCCCAAGAATTGAATGGCGAAAACCAGCACTTAAATCACAGTGAACTTTGCAAAATTGTAATATGAACCTAATGCCTGGTCCAGCATATGAGTCTGTTTGCCAGAAGCAGGAAGATTCCTGAATTAGATCTGTATGTGACAGGCCAACATTCCAGCATATGATTAAAAGCAGGGTGGAAAGTGAGGTGGCAGGAAATTAAGCATAACCCTTGACACATCCCCTCCCATACTTTACACATGGCTAATGCTGTTCCTCCTCCCCCTTCTCCTCCTCCTCCTCCTCCTCCTCCTTCTTGTCAAAATTTATCTCCTCCTTATTCCAAAGCCATTTTTGCCCCAAAAAGAAGTTGCAATATGAACCTAAAGAGTTTGGCAAATGGAGGTTTAAAACAGAAGCCCTGGAAGAATGCTTCCTCAATTGGTCGTGTAGAACGTTTCTGATTATTCCTATACAAAAGAGTTGTGATTCCTAACACTTTTTTGCTGGGTTTAAGTGAAATTCACTTAGGACAGAAGCCTGAACAACATGGTGATGAGCAATAATGTTGCTCGATTCAACAAAATTCAAAAGTATTTTTTATTCAAAAAGAGGATACCAATTTAAAAAAAATACCAAAACCAAAACAGACTAAGTTAACTCTCCTGACTCCTTTAACACCTGGTTTACAAAGTTTAACATTACAGGAAGAGAAATCCCCTTTTTGGGGATTGATTGATATTATTTTCAGTGAAGAATTATCATCTAATAACTATGTTCGTATAAATAAGATATGTGTTACATTAATAACTAAAACAGCAAAATGTCTATAGGCAAGAAGTGATATCTTACAAGCCAATTATATTAATTTAAGAGAGATGGAATCTAATGTGTTTTCTACTCAAACTTCAGGCTCCATTCATCAGAGACAAGAAAAAATTGCTGCAAGGTTGATAGAGTTAATTATCTCTTGCATGTGTTTTGCACTGAGGAGAGAATTATGGAGGTTTCCATCTAGCCACTCTGCCATAAAGCCCAGATCGGTGGAGGGCTGCAATGATAGTTGTCCTTCTGGAACTCTGTCCCATCTCCACACAGGATCTCTGGAGTTCAGTCAGAGTGACCATTGGGTTCTTGATAACTTCTCTGACTAAGATCCTTCTCCCCCAATTGCTCAGTTTGACCGGGCAACCAGCTCTTGGAAGAGTCCTGGTTGCACTAAACTTTTTCCATTTGTGAATTATGGAGGCCATGAAGGAACCTTCAGTGCAGCAGAAATTTTATTGTAGCCTTTCCCAGATCTATGCCTTGCAATAATCCTGTCACAGAGCTCTGCAGGTAGTTTCTTTGACCTCATGGCTTTTGTTCTGCTGGAGTATGCATTGTCAGCTGTGATGCCTTCTATAAAGAGGTGTGTGCCTTTCCAAGTCATGTCCAATCCAAGTCATGTCCAATCAGTTTAATTTACCACAGGTCGACTCCATTCAAGGGGTAGAAACATGTCAACAATGATCAAGAGAAATGGGAGGAACTAGAGCTAAATTTCACATGTTGTCTCAAAGGGTCTAAATATTTTTGCCAATGTAATATTTCAGTTTTTTTTCTTTTTAACAAATTTAAAGACATTTCTAAAATTCTGCTTTCACTCTGTCATTATGGAGTACTGAATGTAGATTAATGAGGGGAAAAAATGAATTTCAACAACTGTAGAATCAAGCTGCAGCACAACAAAATTGACAAAAGTGAAGGG